GTAGCAGAAAATTTGCTCTGCTCTTCATTGTTATTATACTCAGAAATGTCAAGTACAGATATCTCGTTAAATGTTAAATTATAATAAACAGGAAAATAAATAGTTTAAGAATTTTAATTATCTTTTTATTACAAATCATAATAAACTTCTTTATTCATGGCAAGAAATAAAACATAAAAAGTATACTTTGTTTTTTTTACTCTTTTTTTTATCATCATAATTTAAATATGTTGTGGAAGTGAGCCAGAAGATAAAACAAGGTTATATTTCATTTTAAGGTGCTAGATGGACAAATCTTAACAATACAGCATAAGTAATTTTGATTTTAAAAACTATGGAATTGACAATGCCAAGTTTGGTTAATGCTATATGTGGTGAAGATAACCATAGTTGTCTTCCTACTCAACTATAAAAGAAATGAGTGAACTTATGAGCAATAGTCAGATTGCATTAAATAAAGCTTTATTACAAGCTTAAATGTCTGTCTGTTTTTCTTTACACTATGAAAAAGAATAATTCATAGTCAAAAAGCGGTTAAGAGAGAATCGTATACAATTCCTTAGAAATGTTAACCCATTTATGCATGGTGCCAATTTTTGTATTATAATGAAGAGTTCCAAACTCTTTGTTATGGTACAAAAATATTATAGTCTAATGTTTTAGGCTTTGTACTTGGAGCTGATTAAAACCAAGCCTTCTCAACTAGTTCAGCATCATGTGTAAACATGTTAACTATCTTTGCTAGGATTTGATAAGCAAAGAATTTGTTTCTAACTTAGTTTGTTTTACAAATTTTCTCTGAACCTCTTTGACTATGTAATATTCTTTTTCATAGTGTAAAAAAAAACAGGTGCATATTTAAGCCTGTAATGACACCTTATTTAGTGCAATTTGACTACTGCCCATAAGTAACAAATTAAAAAAATTCCTAAATAGTGTTGTTGTTTTTTTTTTTGTTTTTTTTGCTTTTTCTCCAGTGAATAAGGAGCAAAATTATAAGTACAGTACAATCAGTTTCATTTAATATCCTTAATTTTTCAAATTTTTCAACAGATATTCTTTTTTGTATGTTAGAATATGATCTTGGGATTCATATAAATATTCATAATTCATTTCAGAAACTTTTATTCAATATAGTAACATAACATAGATGAACGTAACAGGAACAAAATTATCCATATGTTGAACTAATAGTCTTTTAGGTTTTCTGTTTAGTAACTTTAAGTAAAAGTTTTCTATAGTTAGTAACTAATCTACTACAAATCTCTTTTAATATATTGTTCCATTTAAAAACAAACTGCTCTCACTCTACTAAATTAGGGGGTTGTTTTGAATGAACCTGAGCTTTGTGTTCTCATCACAATTCTATAAGATTCAGGTCTGGATTCAAAGTCAAAGTAAGAGCCGCCAATTATTCACCAGTACACTTATGTGTTTTATGATCATTATCATGTTGGAAAGTGAAATATTTTCCTCAAAAATGATATCTGTCAGAATCATTGAGATTCTCTTTAAAAATATCATGGAATTCATCTTTTTTTCATGATTCCAACAATGTTAAACAGCCCATTCCTTTTCCACTAAAACAACCCCAGGGCCTAAGATTGCCACCTCTGTATTCTACTCTTGGTATAGTATTTCTAGGGTTCATTGCTTCTCTTCTTTTTTGTTTTTTGCAATTGATTCAAATTAAACACTTCAATTCACTCCATCAGACGAAGTTCCAAAAATACCTAATGCTGTCTCTTGATCAGTTGATTTTGTCATAATCCACTTTTCAGGTTCCTTTCTTTTCTGAGTTCCCTCTCTCTTGACAATTTATACCTGGATACATTCTTTAACAGAATTATTTATATTTTATGAAGGAAAGTGAAGTGAGGAAAACATATTTTTGATAATCTTTTTGAATATGTGAATTTTTTTTTGTATTTTTGAATCAAAATTTTTCTCCTTTTGTTCTCAGCTTCCAACTTTTGAATGTTTTTCTTCTCCCCTACAAGTTGCATCTAGTGACTATCCTTGTGAGTTCTAGGAATTGTCCACTTCAACTTACCTTTGTGACTTTACTCAGAACTTCTGCACATCTGACTTGTATTTGAACTTCTGATTTCCAGAAAACCTTCTTTGATACTTCCGCTATATATTTAGAGATTCTTGATAAAATTCAAAGAATCTGCAATATTATCAGTCCTGACCTGGCATCTCAGCCTCAGTCACTTTCACATCATTGTAATGTAGCTTCCCTGTGCCTTTAAATATTATCATGGTAATTGTTCTGATGAACTTTCCTCTATGGTACCATATAGCTTTACAAATTTAAGTAATTTTAAATCATTTTATAGTAGAAATGGCTATATGTAATAAGTTCTATGCTAACAGTTTCTTCTCTTTCATGTCTTGCTTATGGAACTCTCTTCCAGCCTCTTGCTTTTCCAGTGATCTTCAAAAATTTGCTATGTCAATCATTATTTTCTGTTTTAATTCTTTCTTTTTTTTTTTATTGTTCTCTTTCCTTAATTTTTCTTTCTCTTATTTTTTCACACTCTTGCACCTTAATGGCTTTATTGCCTTGCTTGGTGTGAAATTATTAAAAAAAAAAAAATGAATTTCACAAGCATTCTCATTAGATTGTGTTCTAAAGTACATTTAGGATGTTGCTTTTGGAACCTTTTGTTGTCTATTCTTTTTTATCAGTTTCTTTCATATACTCTTAATATCTGTCTTTGATTTTAGCTTACAATATGCTGCTTCTTTCAAACATCTGATTTTCCAATATTGTTTTATGTCTGTTATTTTAGTTTCATTCCATAAAGATTAGTATGTTCCCCTCTCCCTCTGCTCAAGATCAGCCATGCCTGATTTTCTCTCCTTAGATTCCAGCATTTTTAGTATTCCAAGTTTTATTCTTAGTAGGTGGCTGGCCACACCTTTGTACTCTTACTACATACAGTTCTTTGTCATAATACATGTTTAGAGTAAGATCACTTGTGAATACTGTCCTGATGCCATACAGTTTATAGATCTTTACACTGAAATACTGTGATACAACTAAAAATCAAAGATAAAGAAATTAATCTGAACAAACCAATATGGAATAGTTACATGTCATAAAAAATATAATCTTTATTGATATTACACTTTTGCAGGAAAAAAATCTTAGGTACTGTTGGAAGGCTAGTAACTCCAAGTTTCTTTGAAGTACTAATGCTTTTCTTATTATTCTTATTCAGTCAAGTGTTTTTTCATGTCACTGCCTGAAGCCAATTGAGATCAAGTCTACTGATTCTCTTGCACTTTTCTTTGCTCTCAGCACTCTTTTGTGTTGTTTACTTGTTTTACTTTTTATTAATCATTTCACACCAAGCATGGCAATAATGCCTCGAAGATGCATGGTGTTACTGGGAGTGGAAGAGAATGAGAAGACTTTAGTGAGGAGAAAGACAAAAGAATAGGATTCAGGAAGAATATGGAGATTGAAGTTGCATTTACAGTTCTGAAGATTGCAGGTGGCTAGGAAACCAGAAAATGGAAGAAATTTCGGGAGGTGAGAAGTGCAAAAAAGGAACTATTAGAATAAAACTTATGTTTACATCTAGCTATTTCAACAGTAAAACGATGAGACCTAATAGCCAATCTAGTAGTACACTTAAATTCATACAGTTGAGATATGAAGCAGGAGAGCTCATTAGAATAACAACTATGAAAATGTTTATAAGACAAAGGGAAACCATCAATGCAAAATGATCCTATCCTTAGTTGCATAGTATGTGCATCATCAGGACTACATAGTTTTGAATTCAGTCTTCCTTCTCCCAAACTGGTTGCCAACCAAGGCTATAGAACCCAATCTGTGCTACTATTTACCCATAGCTGGGTAAATAGTAGGACAGACTGGGTAGCGGACTTACTATTAAGACAGGAGTAAATAGTTGCATGATCAGCATAAATATCTAGTTGGGAACTGATGACATTGGGAAAGATCATTGATGAGGATAAGAAACAACATAAGTTCAAAGATAGAGTCCTGGGGGGGGGGACCACTGCATTGATGTGAAATCATCTAGAATTGTGGTTGTTCAACACAACCCTTGGGATTAATAATTGATCCAGGTTCAGAAATCTTGAATCTATTTCCAATATGTCGTCGTAATAATATTCAGGAGGCACAGTGGAGTAATGGATAGCAGCTCAGACTGAGGAATCGGAGAGCCGAGTTTGAATTCCAGTTGAATCCATTACATTCACTTATGTGCTAATACCCTTGGGAAAGGTATGAATCCTCTTCTTCTCCCCCCAGCTATGGTTAAATAGCAAAACAGACCAAGTTCTATAGCCTTGGATGGCAACTGGTCTACCACAGAAATGAATGGCAACCTACTGCGGGGAAAAAATCTGCCTTGTCAGTCATGTATCGAAAGATACATGATTGCCTAAGCGTGTATCACATATGGCACATAACTAACTGAATTATGTACATCTTTTTTACACCTTCTAAATCTTTCAATTGAGGGCTTGGTATTTTTAGTTGTTCACTCCACTCACCTTATTCTGTAATCTGTCGAATTTCTTGACAGTTCTTTTATTGTCAATTAAGATTAGCTCATCTGGCTCTACCTTAATCCCAGATTTTAGTTTGGCTTTTCATAGTTTTATTAGTTAAATCTTCAATTCATTCATTGTCTACAAGATTCATTTAAGAAATTGAAACAATATCTGAATCAATGTGTGTTTTGATAGTTAAAACCTTTTCTAATATTGTCAGCCATTTTTTTTTTTTTTTTTTTACTAAAAGATTTTTAAATAAAAAGTTTAAAACAAAATATTTACTTTTCAAAAAACTAATAAGTGAATATAGTCATTCTGAAAAAATTATTTTACTTATATTAATCTTTGAGTAATAATAATTGGCTGTTGCTCATAGGAATGTATCCTACATGCATTATTTTATATTGGATGCTATTGATTCAAATTCTAATAGAAATACTTTTTTTTTTCTCCAGGAAACAGGAGCTTTAAGTATTGGACATCATACAGGACCAATGAAGAAAGGCCAAATCTATTCAGGAGGTAAGTAATTATGTATACAGAAACACAACAAATATAAATAAATACCAGTTTTCAAATAAGAAATATAGATATCTATGCTGGTATATCTGGGCTGGAGCAACCCAGTATTCACTTGAAAGTCTTGATAAAGTTCAATAGTTTAATCACTTCAAGAAAATTTTATTCAAATTAAGATTTGGTTAAATTAGCATGAACAGATTTATGTTTTCACTCTTTAAAATCATCTTTTGTTGAAATTATCAATTAGACTTCATTCAAAAACAAAGCAAATTTTTTTTTTTTTATAAAAAGTTTTCTGGTTAGTTCCTTTATGCTACATTCCCAAATGATCCAGACAAATTGAAGAAGATTCATTCCAAGAGACTAACTTGATCTAGCGTTGCTGTCTCTTTAAACATGTTATCTTTAAGTCATTTTTACCAGATGCTATTGAGCTCTATCCTTCATAGGTGTCTCAGCACAGGGTGATGGTTAGTGAAGGTAGTCTGGTCGACTATTACAATTGAGTTTTGAGTTTGATCCACGCCAGGTGCTCCATACAAAATTTGATGTTAAATAACCTTTAACATGTTATAAAATCGTTCATGAATAAGCTGCTCTTTTTGTTCAAATAGCAAACAGTGAATATTGGAAAACATCTCCTGCAGAAGAGATAGTTATTCTCCAAGCGTAGCTTAGATGTGGCACAAGGCCGAAAGTATGGAGCACCTAGTGAGGATCAAACTCACTTTTCAGTCATAACTGATCTAGTGAGAAAAGCTTGCTAACCATTACACCATGCCGAGGTGCCCTGACTCCTACAGAATGGATATGTAGCTTTCAGAAATGTTATTTTTCCACATGACCCAGAGGTTTTGAATGATGACCATGGTTCCAAAATTACTTCATACATCATGACCAAAAATTAAAATTCTTCTGGTTACTCTGCCATAATAACCCTTGTCACGAAGATATACTTCTGATTTAAGTATGCTCTGATACATTGTAATGGGGATTTATTTAAATTTCTTATTAAATCTTATAATTTTTGTCTGAATTTCTGAGATAAGGAGTTATTATTATCTACATGTGGACTATTGTCCTTGTCTTTGTTGTTGCTATCACAATGTTTCGGTGATTGTGTTTTCCAGCCTTCATCAGGTGTATGTTGATCTAGGTAACTTACAGGGAATTCCAAACTGGATTTTTTATTTAATCTATTGGAGTAAACCAGTCATGAGCAAACTGTGACTTGCAGACTGCCTGTTTAGTTCTTTTAAATGAAAACTCAAGTCATATTCTAAAATAGCTTTGTTAGATTGAAACTTTCATATGGATGACATGCATGGCACTAAACCCATTCAGAACTATCTAAACTGTCAGCTGTATACAACCATTTTCTAAGATCAAGGATTAAATATGGCTTTGAGAGAGTGGCTCTTGTTGAGTTCCATTCTTCTTCAAACCTTGTGGACTTGTGCTACAGAATCACAAAGAACTGTAACAAATAAGAGAAACCAAATCAATGGGGGAGTTTCAGCAACAACATTAACTAAATTGGATAGCACATGTAAATCTAAGAGAAAATAATTAAATAATCAAGATGCTGACATTCCATACTACTTCAAATAAAAGGTTAGGAAGGAAACCCCCATCAGAACTGGAAAGTGCAATAACAGTTACTGGACTTGAGAAATATATTTTCCTGAAAATTGCTTTAATAGAAACATTTTATAAATTTCAACTGAAAGTAGTACAAGCTGCTTAATCAATGAATGCGGAATGTTTCCTTATAAGGAAACTGCTAATATTATTATTAATATTACCATATAGTGTGAGTAATTACTATTAGTGTGTTAACTATGTGTGTATGACCCACTGAACTTTGAGAAGTATCATCCTTGAAATGGATTGTAAAGTATTTCACTAAACTTGTTTTCATGAACTGAATAACTTTCTATGTACAGAGGAAATTTCTTTTTCTTTTATAAGGAAAGTTAACATCTTACACTCTATACATCTGACTTAATGGACTTCATTATTTGCATGCTGACTATTCTTATCAGCTTTGTTGTTATTACCACATAGAAAACTAACCCAAGTGCAATGAATACAAAGCACACAGTTGATGAACCATGCACATTAAGGCAGGTTGATTTTGGAACCATGGTATTGCACTCAGTTTGAAAATTGGGGTTTGACAGAATAAATAACAGCACAAAATATTTTTTTCAATTCATTACCGTTTTCTGAGGAAACAAGTTTAAAGATAAACTTTAGGTTCAGAATCGGTGATTGAATTTCATTCTAGTGATCAATGAAAGCCATTATAGCACAGCCTTTGAAAATATATAATTTACTGAAGAATTTACAAATTGTATATAGAAAAGATGCATGGCATAAGCACATTATTACTAAATCATTGTGTTATCAAATAAGACCTTCATTTACTTCAAAGGGAAATTATTCTGAACAGTTTAGCTATATTATGATGTAATGTTTTATATTGCAGTAGTTTTATTGTGACTTTCAATAAACAATGCAAATTTAAAACATTTTGTCTCATAATTTGTGCCCAGCAGTATTATGGTATTATGTACCGTTTAATCTATTTTTTGTTTTTATTAATTATAATCTAACAAATGATCTAACCAAATTTATTCATTGAGTAATGTTTTTGTAGTCTTTTACAATTCTTTTACACAGTTTTTACTTATTGAATACAGTAAAAAAAATTGCATATTTTGGCTTGTGGTGATTCATAATTTGATCTGGTTTGAATATATTTTCAATTCAATGTATCTAATACAAAAGATATTAACCTTATTTGGAATTATTCTTCAAATAGTAAAATTTTGAAGTCAGTTTGTAAGCAAAAATGTGAAAATTTCTGTACATTTTTTTCATACAATCTTTAAAACTAAATGCTCAAAAGTTGGTAAAAGCTATAAATTTAATTTTTGGTGTCGGTACTTATCATGTCAAACCCCAGCTCCCACATAATTGCGATGTTTATTTTCTAAAAAAAAAAGTGAAAAATCAATCTGCCTTAATGCACATTGGTGTGGTTTGTCAACTGCAGACTTGATGGTCATCATAACTGAGTTAGGGGCAGTTTTCTAAGTGATCCATAACAACGAAGATGAATAGTCCATGTGTAAATAATGATAACTACTCATCCTAAAAATTCAGACAGAAATTAATGGAGCCCCATTAAGTACCTGACACCTCCTGCTGTACCCTATCTTTACAAGAGCCAGATAAGACCACAAAGTGAGTATTGCTGCAATATCTGGGCTGGAGCTGCCCAGTCCTCACTTACCAGTCTTGATAGAGTTCAGAAGCATCTATGCAACCTTGTAGGTGATGAGTTATTTTCCATCTTACGGCATTTTTCTCACAGATGAAATATTGCAAGCCTCTTGCTACTCTAATGGCAAACATTCTGATGATACCTTAGTTCTACCAGTTCTGACCTTTGCAGTTAAGATCCACCAGGCCACATACACAAATTATCCTCATTCCCTTTGTATTCCATTTGTAAGAAAGAAGTTCCTTTCAAACAGTTTCTCCTCAAGAATTGCTACTTTGTGGAATGCTCTCCACTCCTAAAAAAGATATTTTCCCAATCACTACAATATTAAACTCTTCAAGTCTAGAGTTATCTGATATCTTTCCTACATAACTTCATAAACTGTATGTCTTACCTCCTACTCTTATGATCATACCACAACCTACTCCAGTAACCTTCTACCTTGAGTGGGTCTTGGGTCTTATATTGAGTGAACATTAGTAAAAACAAAAAAAAATATTCCCTAAATTAGAAATTTGGTTGAAATTTGAAATGCAGATACTAAACTATTTTAAGCAAGAAAATCTCACTTCTCAGATATCATAAACATGGTAGAATAGTATAAGTATTCATAAATACACAAATAAAATATATTAGGTGGGTGCAGAAAAATTCTTAATCCAACCCATTTTCTAAAATCTGACAAAATATCAGATTTTTGAAGGGCTTTTTGGTTGAACCAAAAAATTCATTGTATACATGCTCAAGAGGATGACTTTGATGGAGATGGTAGAAAGTAAGTTTTCATTTAATGTTAAATTACCCAAAGTTTTAGAAAACCATTTTCTATATTGTTGTAGCATACCTAAGGATGATAATGGTTTTTTTCCCCATTCACATAAATACAGTAGTAAATACTGTATGTGGGTCTGCTGTTGGAGATTCATTGTGGAATTCACTTGACTCACTTCTAGCAGTTGACTACTTTTTCTACACACTGCTAGCAAATCTTATGTCTTTTGTTCTTGTCCTAAATATTATCGTTCATTACCAACCTTCATGTGATTATTCTATTCAGTAACCTTCCCTAGGTTACAACATATATCTTATTTACTTTGGACTTATTTCTCTATTACAAAAGATGATGGATGATCAGGTTGTGTAATGGATAAACAGATCATTTAGTTTGTTATATTCACATGTGCCAACATCCTTGGAAAAGATGTGAATTCATTTTTTCTCCCCTAATCAGTTATCTCCCCACAAAAAGTTATTAATATAATATTCATACACAAAAAAAAAGCAAAGAAAATTTTTTTTCTATAATCCAAAATATATTTTAGCTTTAAATAACATAGAGTTCATAAGACAAAAAAAAAAAGCAATCAGTTAATTGACAATTACAAAAGTTGAATGTACATTTTATACTATGAAATGCTATCCAATTGATTAGGCATTTACAGTTCAACCTAACTATCCACCTAATGTATCAGATGATTGTTCAAATGCAGTATTTTCCTGAAAACTAGGAATCATTTTATAAAACAAGTAGTAAATTTGAAATCTGAGATCAGTGAGATTTATCACTGTTTCTGTCCATTGTCTATTATCAAAGTAATTTGCTGAAATATATGCAACTCAGCTTATTTGCAAAATTGTTTGAAAGTTTGTTCTTATGATTACTTCCTCTTGCAAAATAATAATTATTTGTTGATCAGGACAAAAACACTGAGCTTGTTTCATTGTAACACACTTTAACTATGTAGACATTTGATGAAGCAGTTTTCATCATTTATAAATAAAACATTTGTATATTTTAATAAAAAAATGAGATTATCTACAGTTTTTATTTGTAAATTTACAATTTTGAAAAACAATTTTATTTTATTTTCAAAATGTTCACAAGAAAAAAAATATTATTTATCAAAAATGTTTCCCTTGCTATTTTTTTCTATTAAATCTTTAGTGTTATTGCTTTAGAACAAGTAATATAAGTTGTTGAGCAGTTAAATACTGGTTGTAGAAAATAGATATCCAAAGCTTGTCAAAAGTTTTCAGTTGGGTCTTATTTACTGTTACAAAATGACATAGCTTTTCCATTATGTAAGAATCATTAATGGAAGCATAGGTAATCTTCTAATCTAGAAAATATTTTTTGGATGAATGTAAGAACATGAAAAGGTATGGTTGTAGGTAAGTATGAACAAGCATAATATTATGTAGTTTATTATGTATTTTTCAGGTTCCTGTGATGTACTGTTGAAAATGATTGGTGCTACAGGAAAGGATGTGTTATACATTGGGGACCATATATTTGGTGACATTCTCAAATCCAAAAAAGAACGTGGCTGGAGGACATTTTTGGTGATTCCAGAACTGAAACAGGAATTGATGGTGTGGATTGAAAAGAAGGCATTGTTCTATGAATTGGGCAACTTAGATGTAAAATTGTCTGAAATTTACAAGTAAGAATTGTCTTTGTAAATGAGTTGTGCATAATTTTTGATATCTGCATTCATTTTGATAATCTAGCAAGAATTTTGGCAACCAAAATTCTCTTGAATAGATATTTAGAAAGCAAATGGGTTTCTGAAGAGTAAATTCTTGTTTATTACAAAACTGAAATCCTCGTAATGAAAGAATGTATAGAGGGTGTATAGCCAGAGTGTATAAGGAGAGGCCAAATAACCAGAATGTGGAGTGGGGGTTCCTGGAATGTAAGTGTGGGGCCCAAATATTGGACATGGGAGTGGGGGGAAATGTGTGTCATGCATGGAGGCAGGGTGGAGACAGATACCAACATGTTGTGAGAGCCAAAATGCTCTTAGGTGTAATGTTGGTGGGCAAAATGTCCAGCTGCTTAATGTGAGGGGAGAGGGGAGCAAAATGTCTGGAATGCATAAGGTGGGAGCTAGATGGATGCAATGCCTAAGATAGGCAAAATTTCAGTTTTCTTTAAAGAAAATTTTGTTTCAACATAGAAAGAAAGCAGAGACGAAATATTGAAACAAAGTATTTATTTTCTATCAACAAATTTTTTATTTACTTTAACTTAAACTTTTTAACAACTGACAATGTCAAGTCTTCATTGAACTAATTTACATACTTTTTTTTTTCTCTACAAAAATATTTTTCTCACTTATTGGTCCTTCAAGAATACATTACACAATTATTTAGTATGGTTTAAAATTATTGTTTTTAATCATGAGGTTATTTCATGAAATTACCTTTACAACATATGAATAACAAATTGCTTTAACTAATTGCCACTAATTAAAAAGTAGCATAGGATACATTATTATCACTAATTCCATGGCTCGGCTCAGTATTAATAGAATATAAATAACACTAAAATTTCTTTTACTATATACATATGGCTATTAATCAGTTCAGCATGATTTGGGCCCAAAGCCATGGAGATAGGACACTCAGAGAGGTTCAAACTCATTACTCAATAATATGTAAGATCAGCTTGTGAAATGTAATACCACATCAATGTTCCTAAATATATATATATATGTGTATATAACTATCTTATATACAATCATTGATGTTGCTTGAAGCTAAGCAGAGTATTAAGAAATAGAAAAGTTTCACTAGAAACAAGAAAAAAATGAGTACTAAACTGTTACGTGATATCTGTCCTCCTGTATGGCAGTGAGTGCTGGATGATCTCCTCAAAGATAAGGAGGAGACTTGAAGCAACAGAAATGTGGTTCTACAGTAGGATGTTGAGAATATCATGGACTGAACAGGTGAGCAACAACATAATTTTGGAGACAATGAAAGCAAAAAAAAAACTTATACTTAACATGAGAAAGAGGCAGTTGAGGGTTCTGGGGCATATAATGAGGAAGTAAGGCTTGGAAAATCTGATACTCACAAGACAGATAGAGATACAGAGGAAAACAATGCATAACATAATGAGCTTGAGTAAATGGATGACAGAACAGTGCTTAGGAGAAATAACAGAAAGACCAAGCTTATTAAGGGTTACAAGGGACAGGAAATTGTGGAGAGACATGATCACTTCCGTCCTGAGGAGACATGGTATATAAAGAAGATGATGATGTTTGTCAAACTCTGCCTTTCTCTTTTGCTACATCCAAATATTCTCAAGTTGATAATCTTAGATACTTTGATATATCAAGTATACAACCATGTTGATTTCCACTGTTTACAATTGTTTAAAAAAGTTTACAGTAGACCAACAAAGGAGGCAACCTAGTTATGCATTATTGAAGTCAAATTATAACCATTATAATACCTCTCACATATTCCTAGAAATACCTTTTATTTAATGGTAAGACATTAGCTAGATGAAGATACCATTGCCACTAATGTTTTATCATTATATAGGAAGTATTTCTGTTTCACACTGTATTTCAAATACTGTTTTAAACATTGAGTATTGCCATGATTGTTTGAACTGTAAAGAAAACTTTATTCAGGAAGGATATTAGAATAACCTGGACGACATACTGGGAGAAAACTGCCTGTATATGGATAGAAAATGAATTTTCACACAAATAAAAAGAGGTTTAAGACAAAGATGTGTCTTCCCACTGGATTTATTCAACCTTTACAGTGAGGTTATCCTTGAGAACTATTATTGGGGGGCACAATCTTAACAATATAAAAGTCACAGATGACACTGTGTGTTGATAGAAGACACAGAAAGGAAACTACAAGAACTCATACAGAAGGTAGTAAATGAAAGAGAGAAGAAAGGACTAAACATCAATTGTAAGAAGAAACAACAAATGGTTGTCAGCAAAAGGAACAGGTCAAGATGCAAGCTACTAATTGGAGATATCAAAACCAAGCAAGTACAGATGTTTAAATCCCTTGGAAGTGTTTTAACAGATGACAGAAAATGTGACACTGAAATCCAAAGGTTTATTGGAATAACAAAGATGCCTTCCAAAAAACAAGTAAAGTATTGAAACAGGAAATGTTCATTGAAACAAAGAAAAGTGTGCTAAACTGTGATGTAATTATCAATCCTCCTATATGGCAGTGAATTCTAGACAATTTCTTCACAGATGAAGAGGAGATTTGAGCCAACAGATGTCTTTCTACAGAAGGATGCTGAGAATATTAAGGAGGGATCATATAAATAACAAGGATGTTTTAATAAAATTGGAAAAGAAAAGGAGAGTTCTACTTAGAACCAGAATGAGACAATTGTAATTTCTGGGACACATAATAAGAAAAGCCGGCAGACTTAGAGAATTTAACACTTGCACAATTTATTGAAGGCCAGAGGAAAACAGAAACAAGCTTGTATAAATGGATAGCAGAACATAGAGTAGGAGGGAGAGTAAAAAAAAATGCTCATTGCTTTAAAGGATAGGAAGTTGTAGAGAGCCATGAATGGACACAGTACATGGAAGGTTCTAAACATCTGGAACCTGCTATTATTGGCTGCCACAGTCTGTCACTTGTAATAGAAGAATAAGGCATCAATGAATGCTTTATTTATTCTAAGCATAATTAAAAACCTGATGTTTCTATTTCTCAGTGATATTTACCTGTTCTTTTTCATAAATAATAATTAATGAATCAAACTATCAATGACTTTTGCTATCATATTTTTTTAATTTTTTTTTTTTTTTTTTTTGCACATTAGAAATTTGGATAGCAGTACTCAAGAAAAACCAGACATTGGAGAACTGAGACAAGCGTTACGGGTAAGTTTTGCTTTATATTAATGGTTTTTTGAAGCCATTTGTATTTTAAGCACCGGTAATTATGAAAAAAATTCTTGAATTAATTTTATTTTTTACTATTTTCATCCAATATAGAATCACTCAAGGTAGAAGGTTGCTAAATGAGGTTGATGTAAGAGTATATAAGAAAGGAGTAAGAGGTGCTTATTATGAGGATATGTAGGTGAGATAACAGTTGACCCTTGACGTGAAGAGGTTAAGATTATAATGATTGAAGAAACAACCTCTAAGGATTCTGTTCCACAATGCAACAGTTCTGGGGAAGATGATTGCAAATCAATCTTTTTTTTTTTTTTATTCAGACTAAAATTTCTGACTTTGCTATTCTTGATATTTGAATGACCAAATGGAAAGAATCCTGTTATGCATTTCATCCTTTGAACACACTTCTTCAGACTAATGTTTTTATAGATTGGATCCTGTATATATGGAGGGGGGTGGCGAAATGCTGCAACAAAGGTCAGGTATAATTCTACATTGATAAACACTGAAGATACATGGGTGCTTAACTTTAAATTAAAATTTTCCTATTCTTAAATTCTGTTGCTTATTTCTTAGTTCTAAGATTAACCAAAATATCTGTAGTAATTACTATATATACTCATTTAACATGCAATGTTTATTTTAAATACAACTGTACTTTTTGACTACATTAAATGGATATGTAGTTTGGTCAGTGATGTAGCCAAAGCCAGCAGTATATATGCTAATTTTATATCACGTGTATGATGTGACCCTCTTAAAATTACCTTCAAAATTAGGTCTTCAAATGTCACATGATACATGAGTATATACAGTAAATATTTTAAAGTTGTTCACCAAAAATTGTAGACACTAGAGACACTCAGCTTATATGCAAGTCAGCGGGTCAGTTGAGATGGAACAAAATTTGCACAAAATTCTCTATATAAACAGAGAAGTCACATGAGTCTTCCTTTTTGTCATCAGATAACACGGCATGCTGCCACTTGTTTTGACAATTTAAATCATCATTTTCTTCAAATAGTCAACTCAATGAGACTAACTTATTAACCATTGCCTAACAAGGCTGATATTAATGTCTCATAAGTTTGACACAATAAACTTATATTACTTTTGTGAAGATCGGTGATATTATGTATGTATAATATTATATTTATCATCAATTAACCTCAGACCAGGATCATACATCATTGTGTATGATGTGACCCCCTTAAAATTAGCTTCAAAATTAGGTCTTCAAAAGTCATGTGATATGCAAATATATACAGTAAATATTTTAAACTCATTCACCAAAAATTGTAGCATCGGAGGTGAGCTGACTTAAAGCCTTTCTGGGATGGGAGGGGAATTTTATTTATTTTTAGCATGATGTGAATTTTTTTTCTTTATGCAATTTATACTAACCACCACAAATGGCACTTCAATGTGGTATAATAGTTAGCAAGCTTGTCTTGCATGATCAATTACGACTGAATAGTGGGTTCAATCTTAACTGGGTACCCTATACTTTTGGTCTTCTGCCATATCTAAGGTACATTTAGTAAATCACTATACTAACCACCACAAGTGACCAGACCTGAACTTAAGATGTATTTAAAAAAATTAAAATATTTTTTAATTATTTGGGTACTCAAAAAAATATACAGAAAAAAAGAAGTCTTTTCAAATGAGAAACTGAGTTTTAAATGGGCAGAGATTCTGCTATTAAATTATGAGACTTACATGAATGTTTACTTATCTCTTCTCTATTTATTTAAAAGGTTATCTTTTTCTTTCTAATTTTATGTACTTGCTTTTTATTTCTATTTACCTTCTAGAAAGTTACTCATGAAATGGATATGTCTTATGGATTGCTTGGAAGCCTCTTTAGAAGTGGTAAGTAATTTTTTTACTTTCTTTACGTCTGGCAATTTCAGAGCATGAGATTGTCACGGATTTGAATCAATCCATAAAAAAGGAAAAGGCAAGAAAGGTTTTTAAATATAGAAATATAAAATATTTTTATTTTCAGGTTTTTATACTTTTTGTAGATATGTGAGAGAAAAAAAAAGGCAAGGGAGAAAGTGAGGAGGAAAGTGTAAATGTCACATCGCTTGGTGAGAAAGAGTGTAAGTGTCAAATAACTTGGTGAGAAAGACTGGTGAATGTCACATAGTTTGATGAGGAAGACAGGCTAATGAGTAAGGGAATTTCTTGAAGACGCTCTGTGAACTGATGTCACATGTATCCATCTCTATCTCCTTACTGGCTTGTCTGGTTAGAAGCTTTGCTTAAATACTCTTCAAAGGGATTACAAAGCATATTTTTTATTGTTGGCAGGAATGTGACCCATTGGTTGAAAAATGTTAAATATTTATTTTTAAAGGATTAATTTATTAACTGGAAGGATGCACAGATCCTCCAACTCAGAAACCATTGTTTTTGTCATTTGATGACTGTCTTGGTGTTTATTTCAATCTTCACTCCAGAAGATCTTTTGAATTGAAACAGTTACATAAAAATGAATGCTAGTTGCTTTCCTTCTGTGAACTAGCTTTCAGTATGTTTATATATCAAATGGTGGTTTCTCCTATAAAGGTGGATGTAGATTTGATCCCTGCCAGAGAGCACATTTTCTTTAAGATTTCTCAAATACATAAATTGATAGATATAATACATACCCTTGAGTTGTGTAAAATAATTTTTTTATCTAAAAAGGATAACTGATTACAAATAGATGACATGCAAGGACAATGAAAAAGAATTGTAAAGATTAGGTCCTTCTATTTTTCAGCTTTCTTTTTAAGTATATAGTGTCATTATCATAACCTGTCATATATATATATATATATATATATATATATATATAAAATTTCTCAGAGTTAATCTGTAGAGAAAGACAAATGTTAAAGGTAAAAGGCAATAGAAAAACTGTGTTATTAGCCAACTGAAAATTGCATCAAGTACTATCACATGTGGAAATATTGTTTTTATTGTTGTGTTGACGAGAAATCAAAAGATGTTTGAATCTGTCAACACAACAATAAAACAATATTTCCACATGTGATAGACTTTTCATTTGACAATATGAATACAATAGTATTTTCTAAATTCTTCTAGTTGCTAAGGACATTTTGTTGTTTTGTTAATAGTTACTTTGTTTTTAAATAATTTGTTTTGTTTTTGCCTTGAAAAAGTCCATCGGCTAATATTACAGTTTTCCTATTGTCTTTTACCTTTAATGTGTATATATATATATATATATATATATATATAGAGAGAGAGAGAGAGAGAGTAATGTATAGTGGCTCAGACTGAGCAATCGGAGTGCCGAGTTCAAATTCCACTCGGGTTCATTACATTTACTTATGTGCTAATACTCTTGGGAAAGGTATAAATTCATATCTTTTTTTCCCCAGCCATGGGTAAATAGCAGGACAGGCTGGATCTTATGGCCTTGGGTGGTGAACAAACTCTGAGAAGAACAACTCTGAATTCAAAAACTCCTGAGGGTCATTTGGGGGGACCTTATGGCATACTGTACACTAATTTTCTGTATTCGTCTCTTACAAAAAGTGTTAGGTTCTACACAAGCCTTCACCACTATAATCAAATGGTATGTTCAGGTTACCTGGTTGTTGGTTCTAAGAACTGAACTGCTTGACCCTCATACATTGAAAAGTGTCAGGAGTGTCCAGTATATATATCTATCTTATGTAAGGTTGATTAAAGGCCATAGACAAGGAGTGTCTTTTTTAAGTTAATTTTTCTTGTTTATGTACAAGCAAACTCATTTTGATCTAGTGAATATAAATGTTTTTCAAAATGACTTGAACCTTTGATGTTACTTCTGGCCATTGTCAAGATTATGGAAAACTGTGGGGGCTATTTGTTTTTTTTTTTTAATTTAAAAATAAAACTTTTGAAATAAGTAAAGGAATAACCTAATTCCTGAAGAACATAGAATTTACAGAGACAAGAAAAGAAATAGTACAGGATAGACCCTGTGTTATGTTTTTTTGTCTATTTCAATATAGATTATGTTAATAACATTAAGCTTTTATTTTTCAGGTTCAAGACAAACTTTCTTTGCTGCCCAAGTGATGCGTTATGCAGATCTTTATGCAGCTTCCCTTCTTAACCTCTTGCACTATCCGTTCTGCTACATGTTTCGAGCACCTGCAATGCTGGCAAGTTCCTTTTTCATTCCATTTTGTGTTACTTGTTTATAGGCTGCCAAGGATGGCTGTTAAGTTCAGTGTCAACTCACTTCCTGTTTACAGAATTTAAATACTAATTATTTGCAAATAAAAAAGTGGAGATTATTCTGTAATTAGCCAAACTCCAATTGCATTTAAAATTTAAAGTTAACTCTACTTATAATACCAATCCCTAATCAGCAGGAATCTCATGGTAAATGATTTTTGATCATATATGCTTACAATTTAAAAAAGAAGTTCTTGTAATAGTCTCGAGGAAAGAGACAAAGAAATGAAAATAAATATTTTTTCGTATCTGTCTATATTTCTGAGATGAGGTATTATGTACACTATTTACATTATTCGGACTATTGTCCTCATCTTTGTTACCATGTTTATCACAACATTTCGACCGTTGTATGCTCCAGCTTTCTTCAGGTGGTTGGAATGTCGAACTGAACCCTTTATTTCACTCACTGGGGTAGACTGTTCTGGTTCCACATGCCATGTCTAATGGATGTCAGTTATCTCCTGTTAATTCCCCTCTGAAAGATCTCCAGGTATTGAAATCACACGCTTTGGGTCCTGTCACTGGATCTAACTAACGCCTTTATCCACTGTGCTATGTGTCATTGAGGACATCTATGTATTAATTTTTGGGTGTTATAAACCTAATGCCTTCAGCAATCATTTTTTACCAGTGCTCATATTGCAATTTTTGCTGTTATCATTGCATGTTTTTTTTACCAGAGGTCATATTGCAATTTTTGTAGTTATTATCTCTTTTCTCTGGCACTCCTTATTACTGGTTCCCATATTGTATTCATTTCTATGCTTGGTCAGCTCAGGGAATTTTTGTGCTCTAGCATATGTGCTGATTCTTTTAGTTACGAATTTTCCAATGATGTTCTTTGTCTATGATCACAACTTGATTCCACAGAGGGTGGTGATCTCTCTTTTCTCTCCATATGTGGTCAGACACACTTGATTTTTCCACTTCCCCTCGTGTTACAGTTTTCTGGTGTTCTTGAAGCCTTACCTTAAGGGGGCGGCCTGTCTCTCCTTTATATTTCTTTCCGCAGCTGCACGGGATAGATGAGCTGACCAAGCATAGAAATGAATACAATATGAGAACCATATATATATATATATATATATATATATATATATATATATATATATATATAAAGGCATTAGTTAGATCCAGTGACAGGACCCAAAGAGTATGAGTTCAATACCTGGAGAACTTTCAGAATGGAATTAACAGGAGATAACTGACATCCATTCCATTAGATATGGAACTAGAACAGTCTACCCCAGTGAGTGAAATAAAGGGTTCAGTTTGACATTTCAACCACCTGAAGAAGGCCTGCATACAATGGCCGAAATGTTGTGATAAACATGGCGACAAAGATGAGGACAATAGTCCAAATAATGTAAATAGTGTAAATATTTTTTGCGTAGAATAATGATATCCATACATTCATATTGTAAAATATGCAATATATATATATATATATATATATATATATATATATATATATATATATATTTGGGATCAAATATGGATTAGAATCCAACAGAATGATAGGATAAGGAACAAATAGGAAATGTTTATAAATTTAACATGTTTTGTTTTCATCAGAAAATGAAATATGGAGGAGGAAAGCAAATTCTAGTATTTTTATTTTTGAGTTGGATTTTCATTGATTAAAAAGTCCTCAGATGTATCTGTCCTGACGAGCATCATTTGTGTGTATAATTCATTTGTGTCAACTGGAGAGATACATGTGAAGTCTGCTTGGCTAATAAAAAACAAATAACTCAAAACTAAAAATACCAGAATTTTCTTTTTTTTTCTCCATCTCATTTTCTGATGAAGCTAAAATAAAAGTGGAAAATCTTAAATTTATAAATGTTTCCTATTTGTTCCTTATCTTACTCTCTATATATATATGTATGTGTGTGTGTAATAAAAATGAAAAGAATATAAATTCAAATGTTCATAGCATTAATTCAAAAGAGGGCTCAATTCCAGGAGTAGTTATTTATTATAAAATTTTTACATATGGACAAAAACAATTATTCACAACAAAGATGCATTTTTATTTCGATGCAGAGGAGCATCTCGACAGGTGAGGAACAAAGATGGTTATGACTGATCCTATTTAAAAATGCTTTGTCATGAGTAATTTGTTTTTGTCCATATGTAAAATTTTAAAATACATACATACATACACATACATATATATATATATATATAATACATGCGCATTATATTTAGTTAGTAGACATTCCTGTTTTTTTTTGTTTTTTTTTACAGTGAAGTTAATATCTCGTAGCCTAAATATTGAAATGCCTAATAAAGAATATATGCCTCCTGACTGGATCTGAACCTGTTTTCCTTTTTTAATCTGGGAAGCCACTTAATATTTTATTCTCATTTTTGATTGTTATAGATTTATAGACAAAACATTTCAGCCAAGTACTCTTTAGCCATCTTTAGATGACTATTGTTTACAACTCTATGGGATATCTGTGTGGATTATTGTGTTATTTTTTCCCAGTGATGCCAGTTCTTGTTCATTTCTGCTAAATAATCAACACATATCCTATATAGCCAAAAATAATGGATTCCTGAGGATGAACGAATAGTATTTAGCCAAAATCTCATGTCTGTAATAACATCTGTAACAACAGGAGGAGGAGGACAAAAGTTTGAATCGGTCAAAGCATAGCAATAATTCCTCATCTCAAAATTCAAAACAAGATGAGTAAAAGACCTGTTAGTTTTCTATCATAAATAATCAGTTAATTGTAATATCAACAGTTTCCTTAGAAGTAAGTATTTGGCACTCATTGATCAAATAATCAGTGCTACTCAAGGTAAGCTTTTCTTCATTTCTTGGCTCTCAGGTTGAGATCAAAGTGTAGTATCTGTTCACCTTAACTCTAATGGTTGTATTAGCCATTTCCATATATAGAAAAATTGTGCATTCAGTGCTGCTTTTAGATGAAATTCATAAAATCATTATGTGAAAGCAATTTTTCATGAAAATAGGCTTCTCATGGCCACAAACTTTTATCACTCTTTCCAATACTGATGGGGGCTTCCTTCCTAACCTTTTGTTCAAAGTAGTTTGGACTGTCAACTTCTTGATTATGTCATTTTTTTTTTTTTGAGTTACATGTGCTATCCATTTTAGTTGCTGCTGCCATTGGTAGTCCTCAAGTGATGTGGTTTCTGTGATTTGGTACAATTCTTTATGATTCTGTAGTGCTAGTCTTTGAGTTTTGAAGAAGGATAGTCCTTACTAAGACCTACAGGCTCAAAAGTATAATATAAATTGCAATATAAAACTCCTCTTTCCTGATTTTTCATTTAATGCTGATTGATATTCACTGTTAAGTTAGTAATGTCTTACTTTAGTGAATATATGTACATATATATATATATGTACATAGGTCTATATTTGTTTGATGAGGCCTCATTGGATGGTTCTTCTCTTTCATTATAGATGCCGCATGAATCTACAGTTGGACATGACTCATATCCAACTGATGACTCAAATTTTGCGTCCCAATCTCGATCTTCTTCCCTGACTCAAGAAATGGAATCTCCCATCCTGAAGAAGCCAAGGAAACCTGAAGAAAATAATACTTTAAAGACTGTGCCACACCTTCGAGCAGACACTCCCACCAAGTTAACACATTGCCATGATGAAGATGACTCAGACGACACAGAAAATAGTGACAAGTAGAACTGATTTTTCTGCTTTGGAGTTTGTTAGCTACTGGTTAACATTTTATAGACAAATAATCTGCTTTTTGCTCCTAATATTGTTGGACCAATGCTATTTTCTAGATATATCAGCATTCATCCCCTCTATTGATGTTAACAAGGAATTAATTTTTTTTAAATAAAAAAAATATATAAATTATTCACTTATTTATCAATATCTGTTCTACAGATGATGGGCCTACAAATAATCCATGTTTTGTCTATTAGTCTTTGTTGATATGATACAAAAACTGAGTACTGGCAGTTGTACTAGTGTCTAATAATGAACAACTTCGTTAGCCCATCATTCTGATAGATTTTCTTTTTTCCTTGCATATGAACAAAAACAAAAATGTGCAAGCTTTCTGACATTTATTCTATGATTTATTTATGCAAGTATCTTTATCTTTGTTGTTTTGATTGCTGTTTCATTTTGCATGCTTACCAAATATCACCAAGTGTTTTTCACATTCAGTAATCTTGACTGAACTTCAAACACAATCTCTCTTCTTATTTATGATATCAAACTTTAGCCATCACTCAAAAAAAAATGGCATAAGGGATTCTGATGAAAACTCTTTGAAGATTACCAAATGTGACACATGTTATGAGAACTGATGAGTACACCTGTAACTAAAACAACAAAGATGATGATATTAGTCTCAAACTTCTACTGTCTCTTGATGATGCTGTAACATCAATAGAAGGTTTGAATCTGACATTTACTTAGAAGGGAATAATGATGTTTTTGATGTATGTTTGTTTTTTTTTAATGGACACTGTCATTTGTTTAATATATTAAATTTTTTTTAATTGAGCATTTATTGCATTTAATTGCTCAACAATTTGGTTAATGATAGTGTGTTCACACCCCAACATACTGTCAGGCTTTCTTACATAGACAATGTTTTAGTTAGCTGCACTGTCTATGACTACTGCCATAATTAGCTGCTACGCAGCATGTCAAGCCAGTATGAAGGAATAAATATACTTACCTTCATTCTTGCGTTGATGAGCTCACTTTTCAGAGTAAACTTTGTTTGATCAGAATTCTCTTAACATCTACCAAATGTCATACACCCTTAAACTGTTACACTTTGAAAAATACATTTATTAAAATCTTTTTTAATTATATTAACAGAACAAGATTTGCATATAGATTTAGAGATTTTTTTCATATATAAAAATCATACATAAGCACTCTGTGTATATTACATATATTTGTTAGCTAATGTGATAAAATATAGTTTTAAGATATGTTACATTTATGGGTAAAAGTGCTCAATATGACGGTTAGAACATGTGTAAATATGAGAATGGACGCTTATGTCAGCACTGAGTTGCAATAGTTTGTTTCATGTTTGAATGCAATCTTCAGGCCATCATCACCTGAAGATTGTGCTCAAGCATGAAATAGACTATTGCACACACTCTCACATAACACACACACACATACACGGATTGGAATCCAACAGAATGATAAGATAAAGAAAAAGTAGGAAAATGTTTATCAATCTAGCATGTTTCACTTTTATTGTTATTATTTCTGATGAATCTTTAATAAAAGTGAAACCTGTTAGTTTGATATATTTCCTATTTGTTCTTTATCTTATATATATAAAATCCAAAGACAGATATGCAATGAGATAGGTCCTGACCTGACATCTCAACTCCAGTCACTTTCTCACAGACATGATGTGGCTTCCCTCTATTTTTTCTACAAACATTTTCATGGCAATTGCTCTAACAAGCTATTTTCACTGGTGCCCCAATTGCATGAATTTAAGCATGCTATTTGGTTGGCATCTCAGTCCCACCCTTTTACTGTTGAAACTGTTAAATGTAACTGCCTCTTCTACTTCAACAGCTTCTTATCTTGCACTTCCTGACAGTGGAACTCCCTTCCTCTTATTTCCCTGATAACTATAATCTTCAAAAATTTAAATGTAATTTCAGTCAACATCTTCTGATGCCTTGATCTTGATCCCCGTCCTTCTCTTTATCCTTTCCTTAAACACCCCTCTTTACTCTTACTTTCATTCTCTGTAACCACTTGTGTGCTAGTGGCACTCTGCCTTGCCTGGGGTGAAATGTGTAAAAGAAAATAAATATATATATATATATATATATATATATATATATATAAAGAAGTGGAGATACTGAGTGGCAACAGTCTCTTTCATGTTTCAACACAATTTTATTTGTGTTCAAGCATGAAATAGACTGTTACCACTCCATGTTGATTTCAGTGCTCACACTTCTTATATTTACACATGTCAGACATTGAGCACTTTCCCCATAAATATAGCATGCCTTAAAATTATATTTTATCATATAAGGTAAAGTTTAAAGTATGAACTTTTTTATGATGAATAATAATGCAAGTAATTTAATAGTTTGAATCTGTTGTAATATGGTCACCAAATTAAGGACACACTTGATTCAATTTAAAATAACTGGAATTAGTTTCATTCAGAGTTCTTGATATACTGAGGTTACTCTTAGAACCATGAAGATGAAAAATAAGCTAATTCATTGATTGATGCTCAAAGTGTTAAATACATTATTTTAATTTTATTTAACAGCAATGTTCACTGTTAATCATGCTAGAATAATCTGCTATTTGAGTTGGAATAAACTACAGCAGCACCTTATTTGATGAATTTCATCTTAACATCAAGAAACTGATTAGAGAACTGGAAAGTATCAGTACAAAAATAAATAGATATAATATGTCTAGATTATTTAATGAAACATTTTGAAATATATATATATATATATATATATATATATATATATATATATATATTTTTTAGTGGGCTGAGAATCTTTTCAGCCCCCATTACTCCATAAAGGAAATGTTTTTCTTCTTTCAGTCAGTTCAGTTAATGCTTTCTAAGAAAAATACTATTTCCTCCAAGAAATGAAAAGATTAAATAAAATTTTCTAAAAAATGTATAAAACTTCTTCTGGCAAAGCTAAATTTATTCTTTAAATAATCAAGAACTTACCAAAATGTGGAATTTTTATAAATATTACACAAGCAGTTTTTTTAATCAGTGAATTGTTTTTTTTGTTTTGTTTTTTTTTGTGTGTGTGTGGGACTAAATGTAAAAAAAGCAACTCACAACAAATAAGTTTCTTTCAAGTGTTATCAAATCTCATCAATGAGTGGTTTACAATGTTTACTTTCATTTTAGTAGAAATCAGGTCAAATAATAAAATTGAAACTTATTTTCATCAGAGTGTGCATATGTATATCAGTTTCTGAAACCCAATAGTAATTCAGTTTCTGTATGTGAAACAGTTACTTTAAAAAGAATATTTTATCAAGTGAAATTAAATTATTCAGAAGAGGAAAGAAATGGCTGTTTTGTGAAAAGGAAACAAAATTTAACTCAAGACACTCAGTAAACAAATTTATTTAGTTGTCTTGATACAGAGATTGAAATCATTAGTCAGTTGGTCCTACTATGATCACTGGACTGGCTTCAAGATCTGACATCTTGTACTAAAGAAGTTACAAGGCAGTGCCCATCTCCTTCCCAAGTAGCATATGTCAAGAAATATTGTAAAATGATGCTAACACCAGGGAAGAATTTATGTTTGTTAAGGGCACCAAGGCAAGTGATATCAAGAGAGTTTCAAATAGACAGACATCCTGTTTAATCAATTCTGTTTTTACTGTTGTTAATGGCTTTATTCTCAGGCATCATTGACATGTGGACAATTAATAGCAGGCTTAGTGCACATTTCTAGTGGAGCAAGGGTTAGCTCTGCATCTACTCCTTTTAGAGCCATCCTATAAATATGATCTTGTGCCAAACTTAGTCTTGTAGAACAGTGTGGATTCACCTATCATCTGGTTCGCACTCTTCCCTGGACTTTTGAATAGGAATAGCAGTTTATTCCTTCTTTCCTGTTCCTTTTAAAGTCTTCTCATTCTCTTTCACTCCCAGTAGCCTCTTGTGTCTCAATGGCATTATAACCTTGCTTGAGGTGAATTGATTAAAAAAATAAAATGACATATTAAGGGACTATTTTCTAAAAAGACTGCTTCACAGTAAATATTTATTTAATAGCACTTTTTCTCTAGAAATTTTTCAAAAACACACAAATTTTCAGTATGTCTTGAGATTATAAATGAATTAGCATCAATTCAGATTTCATTAAATGATTGTTTTTAATCCTGTTGATAAAGCAAGTTATATGCATGAGTTTGCCAAATTATTTAAATATTAATGCTTTATATATATATATATATATATATATGAAAAACCGTTGGTGGAACCAACAGACTGCTTGCCAATACCTAAACTCTTATCCAGATACAGTCTTAGTTATGATTAGTGTACTTTTTTCCAATATATATATATATATATATATATATATATATATATATATGAGTTAAAGATCAGATATGGATCTGAATCCAACAGGATAAAATAAAAAACAAATAGGAAACGTATATCAATCTAACATGTTTAACTTTCATTAAAGTTTCATCAGAGATTGAGAGAAAACACACAAAAAGACACAACTTTGATATTTTCAATTGTTTAGGTCAGTTCTCATTGGTCAGTCATATATTAAATATATATAATGCATTAAAATCCTCCTCCATTTCAAAATTTTTCCTTTGCAAACCAATTGCTAGTATTGACCAAGAAGGAAAATGTCTACAGATTTTTGGCTATCTTAGGACCAGGTAAAAAAAAAGTCTGTCAAAAGGACATATGTTTTTATATCATCAGTAAGTTTTAGTGTTTTAATAATGAAAATGTTAAACACTAGTGATTTCATATATAAACATACAACCATACAATCACAGTAAACTGTGACCAGTCTCTTTTATAGAATTCTTTGACACATATATGAAACACCAAAAGCTTAATCTACAAATTTTGATAATCTGAAATTTTGTCTAAACTTTTTTTATTTCTATGAAAAGAAAAGGTAAATTTCATTCTCTAAGTTAAA